GAAGATCTCACTAAAAGCTCTCCAGTACAAGATAATCAAGATGAAGATACTCCTATGTAGACGGTAGACATACCTTCTAGTGAAGGACTGATAGTTGATCATGAACCAAATGACATGTCAATCGTTCCATACTCCAAAGCATCTACCATAACATTCAACATTGATCTTGATGATTACTCTCCCTCACCACAAAAAGAGGCTCAATAAAATGATGATACTCAAGAAGCAAAGTCCTCTTATTTTCCACCTTATCCTCCTTAGGAAGATGGTACTCCAGCAGATATAAATGAAGCAAATACATCCGAACCTGAGCCTGAACATATTAGACTAATTGCCTAGATGGTAGTTGACGGTATTGAGGAAATCTGCTTCCACGCATCCTCTCATTCTGAATATCTAGACAAATTTCAATGGTATCTTGAACGTACGGTATACAATGTGTGTATCCTTAATGAGACAACAGAAGCACTCGTAAAAAAGTTGTTGGTCACCATTGAAGACTTTCATGGCACGACTTCGTATATCAAGGGAAATATTGTTCGTAATATACGGCGGATCGAAACTCTAGATCATTAATGAGACAACAGAAGCACTCGTAAAAAAAACTGTTGGTCACCGTTGAAGACTTTCATGGCACGACTTCGTATATCAAGGGAAACATTGTTCGTAACATGCGGCGGATCGAAACTCTAGATCCGAAAATTCAAAAGACCATCGAGGATCATCTCTCTCTGGTGTATCAGAATATTAATGATTTTCTTCAGTCTTTATCAAATATAGATTCCGTCTACGAAGCTAAAATAGATCATTTGCAGAGTAATATCACTGCTCAAGATCGATATATTACCACTCTAGAAAAGTCAATTGCAGAACTTTCAAAAGCTTCAAAATCATCTTCAGCTACTCCCTTTCAAGCATTTAGTGAGCAAGTTCAACGTCAATTGGATTCATTGTTCTCTGACATTGAAAATCTCTCTAAATCCACTTCTCAGAAGGTCCATGACTACTCGGGTGATATCTATTCTCTTTAGAAAACTGTTCAACTACTAGTCAATGAAGTCAAGGATATCAAGACACAATCTCCTTCTTCTGATATACGTGAGCTTCAACAAAAAGTTGCCTCGTCTGATTCCAAGCTAGACTTGATCCTGGAAAAGTTATCTGGTTCAAATGACAGGCCACCTTAACCATAGGAGGGAAAGGGTAGACAAGTCCAAATCAAGTCATTCTCCTATCATTCATGAAGTTCCAGATTCACCAAATAAGTTTGAGATAAGAAGAAAAGAAAAATTGGATGCAATCGACAAAATAGTTGCCAAATCAAGACTAAAAGCTCAACAAAACAGAGCACGTATGGCAGAAATAGAAAAGGAACTCACTAGAAAGCAAGTGATCAGGGATCCAGCTCTTAAGGTGCCAAGAAGGAAAGATGTTTATATCACCAAACCTGTCACTATATCACAACAAGTCGTCCAACCAAAGCTTCCCCAAATTGATCCTAATGATAGAGGAAAACAAAAGGTTGTCTTCAAATCAAAGAAGGAGTTAGCCAAAGAAGATCAAAAGAAAATGGATGAAGAGTTAACAGAGAAATATGAAGCTAAGGAGTTAAAGTCTAAACAAGAGGTGCTTCTTGGAAAGAAATCTCCAGAGATCTCTTCTGAAGAAAGAAACACGTGGCATGATAATCAATTCAAAGCACCGTCTGCTAAAAGAACCATCTTCTTCTATCCTGATACAGAGTCATATCAGAAGATTAAGGTCATCAGGCCTACAAATTCCTTTGCACCTCCTTCAGATTCATTTAAAGAAAACTGGGATATCCCTGCACCCCCGAATGGTCCAAAGTCCAGTCTGTGGCCAAGTGCAATATTTCCAGTTAAGTCTGGTATAGACATTGAAGAGGTGAAGAAAAGATTTTTTTTGAAGAAACCAATTCAAGTTGTCTCTGTATGGTTAAAGTTCAAAACTGCCTCAATTAGTAAAATTGACATCCGGGAATTTCGAAAGATGCCATATGCTTTCTTTCAAGGAAAAGGACATAAAACTCTGTATTCATGTTTTCTGAAGCTGATTTCCCTTGGATAAATCAAGTTGATGTCAGATCATTGATTATTTGGTTGAAGTAGAGGGTAAGTACTAATAAAGCTTATATAGATGCCCTACAACGCTTGAGGTAATATGTTTTGGATATGATTGTTGATTGGGAAATAGGAAAACTTGGAGAAAAGGAATCTAATGAGCTAAATTTAGATCTGAATGTGGAAAATGAGTTACCTGGAAACGTACTGAAAAAACCACATAGAGGAGTTGTATTTTCATTTAAGGGTCGATTGAAATTTATGGGAATCTCTCAGAAACATCTACAGTAAAACCTCTATTTATTAATAATGTTGGGACTTGGATATTTTATTAATTTAACAAAATATTATTATATCGATAAATTAATAAATTATTAATTTAAAGAGTTGGCTTATACAATAGTATTCAAATATATTTGAAATTCACAAAAAAAGTGACTATAGATTAATTTTTTACTAGACAATTCTAGAATTTTGAAATATTTTAGTAATTATTAATTTATAGTTTCGCTGGGACCAATATATTTACATTGGGATTTCAAAAAAATTATTATTTTAGTATTTTATCGATTGTGATCCAATTTTGTACTGGTCCCAAGTTGGAATCGGACAAATTATTAATTTTATCGAGGTAATTAATTTATCGAGTATTAAATTATAGAGGTTCTACTGTATTCTCTTCAGAATTTATTCAAGGCATCATTGGTTTGTTGAAGAGAACAAGAGACCATGATAATACGTTGAGGGTGAAGATAATTCAAGAACTCACTTGGTTTCTAAGTTTTCGACAGTGGTTACTAAACTTAAGGAACAAAGTGTAGGCTGCGTGTTTTTGTTATTTTTTTTAAAACGTGTGGATGAAGTTTTCTTTTTTCTACTAGTAATTCCTTTTAGTAGTTTCATTGTGCATGTTATTGCTTTTATTTTTACTCCTTATGTCAGTAACCATCACATAGGGTGAAACTGTTGGAAAATATGTGTATGTGAGTCTCACTTGAAATAAGTGGATTATTTGTCTATATATCTCTAACAAACATTATCAGAATGTTTCAGGTTGGAAAGATCTTGAAGATTCAACGAGTGTTTGAGGTTGGAAAGATCTTGAAGATTCAACGAGTGTTGGAGCACTTGAAGTTGACATGGAGCATTTTCAGTTGACATGGAGCACTTGTAGTTTACTTGGAGCACTTGCAGCTTACATGGAGCACTTGCTGAAAGCAAGTTGGCCAATCATGATCTTAGATGGCACATCTAGATCATATGTGGAGCATCAATATATTGGTGGATCATCTGGAATATTGAAGGATCATCAGAAACATTGTTGGATCATCCACAACTTTATGGCTCAACAAGACGTTGATGGATCAACATGAATACTTGGTGGCTCATCTTAAGTCAATGGATCAACATGATCACATTGATGGCTCAACAAGATTGCACATGGCACATCATGTACAATGATGACATGTCCAAGTTCTTAATCACACATGCTTTTCGTTCATGGTCCATCATGAACACGTAGTTGTACATCTTCAAGTTTAAGACACAATCCGACATTCAAGTAACAACTCAACTTGATCAAATGACACTTATGGAAGTCGATAATATTCTAGAAGACAATGGAGCAACATGATGCTCATCATTCTTTCAATGTTGATGAAGAAGGCTAAAGAGATATGAAGACTCAAAACATGGATGGAACCCTAATGGAATACTAACAGAATTGGAATATTCCATCCATTCTCCGTTTAGTAGGGTAAAGGTGTCAACTGATGACTAAGTCATGAGGATGTTTCAGCACCTGAGTGGTCAAGCCATGTCATGGGCTTTTCCAGACCCTATAAATAGGCCCCTTAGGCTCCATTATAAAGTGGATCTTCATTGTTCATATTCTGCTCATTCTGCTCATTTGCTGTTAAGACTAGTTTTCAGAGAGCCATTTTAGTGTTTTAGTGTGTTTACCATTCAAACACTTGTAAATAAATCTTTATGAATATGAGACACTTTTGAATCATTGATCTTGAATATACAAAAACGTTTGTATCATAAGTTTGGTTGATTCACAACTATTTTTCCGCATTACTTGACACTTGACGATTCTGAAACGTTGTTTCACTTTTTTCAACACTTGGACTCTTCAAGTCTAAGGTTCACTGAATTTTCTCATTTCTTCAGTTGGTATCAGAGCAACTTAATTTATCATATCCTCACACAATGCTCAAGAAGGCTCTAAATGGATTAGGGTTTGCTTGGGAGACGATAGTGGGTTGGAGGCTGATGAGGGACTGAGCCTTGGGGAGATAATGATGATTATAAAGGGCCCAAACCCTAAAAATTAGGGTTTGTGGTTCAGGCACGTACGTCTAGCGTACGCCATGTATGTCATCATACGTAAGCTCAGCCCCCAATTTACAAAAATGCCACTATGGGCCATTTTGCAACATTTTTCATACACAAGGGCCAAAATGCAATTTATCTTCATACTTAGGGTTAAAATTGAAAATACCTCATCATCGGATTGTTACATTAACCCTCGAAGTAAACAGTGAAAGTCAAAGTCAATATCAGTCGACCTTTACATCGTGGCCATCTTTTGGCCATGTTGTGCCCTACGGTTCCAAACCCGATTGGAATCCAAATTAGACAAATCAACATGGCCATTGTTGATCTCTATGTCGTGGCCTCCCATTGGCCAAACTATGGCATAATAAGGACAAAATAGTCGATCCACCCCTAGTCGCCACACCTTGGGAACTGAATATCACGTCGTGGGAACTAGGTTTAAACATATTAATGGATTAAGCAGTTTCCTTCGACCCCTAGAGCTTCAAAGCTCATATCTGGTCCATACTATGGTATAGATGGATAAAGTTTCCAACTTTATCCATTAAGACAACTCAAGAGATCAAGATCTCAAACCCTAGGTTCCAAAAAGGTAAAACATGACATGGAATCAACTACTAAGCACTAATTCTGTAAAATACTTAGTCCATCTTCTCTAGAAGAGTTTTCTAACACCAAAACTAACATAACAGTTGGTGCTTTATAGACATGCATGTCCAATGCTTGTCTTGACTTCTTATTAGGTCAAAATAAGGGTTTTTGACCAAAACCTCATGCATAGCTTCAAAACCCACTCTGAATTCAAATCCAAAGCATCAAACACCCCAAATGACCCAGAGATTCATAAAGTTGCAACCTTTATGAAATCTTACCACCTCGACCTTCCTAAACAAGAAGAACATGGGACAAAAATATAGCTCTAGAAACCTAACAACATCAAGATTGAGTCTTGTACACTTACAAAGGTCTAGAAGTGTGCTAGAAGGAGGTGTAGAAACTTGCTTGGTGGATTTTGGCTCACTTCTTCTTCCTTCTTTCTTCAAGAACTTCGAAGAACACTAAAAATGAGCTCAACAATAGAGGAAGGGACTAGGGTTTTCTTTAGAGAATTAGGAGGTGATGAAGGCTGAGGGTAGATCAAAACCCTAGCCATCACTTCTTTAAAATACGGTGAAGCCCGAAATATGAGGGTTTAAGTCATCAGGTGGATGCCACCTAGATAACAATTAGAGGTCAAACCTCTTTCTGCAACTGAAGAATTACAGACATACCCGCGTACTCGTAAGAATAAGTCTAAAGAACCACCTAGATAACAATTAGAGGTCAAACCTATTTCTGTAACTTAATCCCTCAAAGTTTAACTGGAAGTCAAACTGGTCAAAAAGTCAATGGTCAACTTATCAAAGTCAACTGGCAACAACCAACAACAGGATCGCCATGACCAAGACCAGACACTTCATGCATACTATACGACAAAATAGTCATGAAAGTCCAGAAGCACCATGACCATCAAATGGAAGGTCATTGCTTATAGTTTAACAACATCTTTTAGTTAAGCACTTAATCCCTTATGTCAGAAGCTTCATACTTCAGATTTGTATCTTCCAAGTGACTTAATGGATAAAGTTTCCAACTTTATCCATTTCCATGGGTTAATCTTCTCTAAACTCTAACCTACTTAAAATGTAACCAAAAGGACAAAAATCGCATGCATGGATCAAAGAGATTGCACGTACACTCATTTTTCCACCTTCAACAAATCCATAAGTCATTCTAAATCATTCATATGGTTCTAGAGTTCTCAGAACTCCAAGAACACCATAGAAAGGGACCAAGTGACACCAACATGCCATAAAATCTAGATCGAAAGAAATAAACATCAATGTAGGAACTTTATACTCAAAATTGTCTAGATATGTGAAGAAATAATTAGATCTAAACTGTAACAAGGCTTCCTTGAACCAAAAGGGACTTCCTTCACCTTGAAGCTTCACAAAATAAGGCACAAAACTCATGAACTCAAGTATCAAGGCTAGGGTTTTACAAGAAGAACGTTCTTTGTTAATGGGGGCTACAAATAGAGGTAATCCTAGAGATAACTTCCTTTAAATAAGGCTCAAGACTCGAAAATTAGGGTTTCTCTTTCCAGTTGGGGCGTGTCACGTACCCATATAAGGGCTCTGTGCCTTGCCACATGTCTATCACACATCAACATACCGATTTCACGTCGCTCTCCAGTCCAAAACTTAAAAACTTAATCCAATAAAATACATACTGAGAATCGGGTGTCACATGAACTCATAACAAACTCGTTTTATACAAATGTGCACTCCGCACCTCTTAACCCGTTTAAAATTAATATTTGAACTCTATTAGTAATCTATAAATTCAATTACACTAGAATGAACAGGTGACAATAAAATCACCAATAAATATTACTTTTGAATCGTCTTCCTACACCTAATAATCTTCTTAGTGTAGGGATTGATGTGTCTTCTACGTTATGTGTAGTTGTTCAATTTATTCAGAAAAACTTGAAACACTTGTTTTTAAAGTATGATGTTACAATTAGAACTAAAAATGCTCTAAGACGGTGGATTCGTCATGCATTACTGGTGATACGAGTCGTTGATGATGTTTTCACATGGGCTGGTGCTTTGGAGA